AAATCTCCAGTAAAAAATGTCTGCATGCAGAATAACAGTAGCATAGATTAACAAAGCTGACAAAAGAGTTGGACAAACCTTTGTCTAGCTTTCTTAATATTTCAGGACAATAGTGTTAACAGCAGACTACAACAAAAACATCCAAAGTAATCAAGCAAAATATTCCGGTATCTATATTTTTATTCAAAACTTTTGTGCTTCTACTCCAATACTAACCATATAGAAGCATATGCATTTTATAGTATTTGCAAGATTCGGATCAAATGTACCCACAATTTATAAAGATTATTAAACTAAAATAAAACATTTCAAATAACACCTGCTTATATGTTTTTATTAAATACATAAATTAGTCTCAACCACACATTTTTTTTTTGTTTTTACTTCTAGTGTAAAAGTGACTACTACTTCAGTCTTTCAAGTTTATTATTTATACAGACCAGCTACTACAAAATATTTTTTCTACACCCGTATTATAATAATGCACTTATATGCCCATAATCCGTTTCATAATGATACCCATTATGATACAGATTTTTCATTACGATACAGATTTTTAATCAATAGAAACCTACAATTTTTCAATCAAGCATGCTGTTTGACGTTTGTCCTAGGTTCCTATGTAATTATTTTAGTTGTCAAAACGTATTAAATTTTCGTAGGTAGCTAAACTTCGATAATTATAATATTAAAATGTCTGATATTAGCGATATAGAAGACTCCTCCACACATATCGGAGAAAGCAGAAAATACAGTACAAAATATTTTACCGCAAAAATCTAGGGAAATACCAATACCTGAAGTAATACCATTAATTACAATTTTGTAGAATTTTTTATAGAAATACGAGTAATTACTGTTATTGTGTTCAATACCAATATAAATATAATATTTATAGGTCTTGATTATTTATCGGGTGTAGAAAAATAGCGTATGCAACTCTCATGTAATGGTTATTAAAACACTCGCATAAACCATACGAAACTCGCCTTTGGCTCGTTTCGTATCCCGGTTAATGCTCGTGTATTAATAACCATCATTACATGATCGTTGCATAATATACTATTATTGATGATAACTAATTTCTCTTTAATAATGGTTTTGCATTTATTAACATTTTACAGCACTTTGTTTATATGAAACCTCTATTTAACTCTTAATTAAATCACATTTAAATCAAGTAATTACATTTTCATATTCAACTTATGTATTCTTATTAGAACTTGGTCACTTTTTTTTTACTTTGAATCTTTTGACTGTGGTAACAGTCCATTCACCAAACCACAAAGTCACTTAAAAATGTTGAAAGAGAATGTCATAAAGGTAAAATTTCTTCTTCTATCATGTTTTTCATGCAATTTTAGGTTGTAAACGTTTTGTCCAACACCTTTTTTACAATTTATCCCAAGCAACACTATGAAAGATTTAAATCCTGGATTTACAGCATTCAGTTTTGAGATGAGTGCAATCACAATGTAGTTTAAGAGATAAATTTCACATGAACACTTATTTACCACAGCACAAACGCATGTACCTATTCATGTAACATTAAAATAAAGTGGAAACAAATTGCATAATTTGGTATATAAAAAAGTACAAAATGTTTTAATTCGACATTGGACTACGAGGAAAACAGTGGTTCATTCCACTTGTACCATATTGACATTATTATGCACGATGCTCGTTCAAACGAACGTCAGAAAAGTGTTGCCAACTTAAGCTGACTACTATTTCCCCCCTAGCCTCAGTCACCCCCTCATCCATTTACTGGGTCTATGTCGCGACCCCCTTAGATATACCAGCCCTGGTGTGATATCATTTTGGTTCCACTGACATTTAATTCTAACCAAACTTTTAACAAAAACATCAATAAATTTGACATATACGTTTTTACTGTTTTTAGTTTATTTCTAAATATTTTGTTTACAGGTCATAAAAAATAGTTCAAAAGTATATAATTGGTAACTAAACAATTGTATATTTGATACATGTTATCTACTTACTTTAAGAATTTATTTATTAAAGTAAAAAAACGATATAATTTAGGTAAACAAAACGAACAAAACGCACTCGAAAAAATCTACTGTTGCTTTAATTATTGTCAGTGGAACCATATAGACCAGAGCATACTGGCGCATTCGTTTGCAAAATTGTTTTAATTCGTAATTTTTTTTTAAATGTGGGGAAGGCTTTCCTGATTATAAAAGTGTAAGATGGCACTCGATATTTGTTGATGTTATTGTTTAAACAACGAAAAATTAATTAAGCCAGAAAAAATGCATTTCAGTGAATTAATTTTTTTTATATTCTTTACGATATTTCCAATAAAAAAAGACCTTACGTTCATTATCGTATCTTCAACCCTTTAATTGTTATGAATTTTTTAAAATCCAAAATTGACGAAAATTCTGATTTTCTTGAATTAAATAATATACCTTAAAATTTAAAATGCTATAATTTTAAATTTTTTACCGAATATTCAAACTATAATAAACAAAATTACCTAAATAAATTTTCGAAATTTTGTTTGTTGTTATGTTTTTTTTTACGTTATAACAATATGCTTCCTACGCGCCACGATGCTACGAAAAATATTGTTCACTAGTATTTTCATTAAACAACAAATTAAATCGCACAGTAACGTTATCGTTTCGACGAAGAGTTGCATTTTTTAATTTTAAATATGTATTAGGTTTCGGACTCTTCACTAACGCCTCGCCATGATTAGGGAATTAAAGAGAACGACATTATTACTCAGAAAATTACACGACTGCAAAGTAAACCAGTAGATGTAGAATCGAGCAAGACTGATTAACAACTGAAAAATAATTTTCAAAACGAGCCAAAAATTCTAAGGTAGGGTTGAATTTTTTATTTGGAAGGTTGTAAAAATTGTTTATGACAGGAAAAAAAATAGAAGAAAAGTTAAACGTACAATTTTTTCAAAATACCAAATAAGTCCTTTTACCTATTTGTATTCATAGTGCGAAAGATTGAAAGTCATAAAAAAAATTTCATATTTATAGTACTTACTCTCAATATTAGAAAAAAAAATGTTTTCCTTATTTTTGTTAAATGGAGAAAGGCTTGGATATTTTTGAAATCATAAAATTTTATAACCCTAGTAAGCCTACTATGTTCATTGTAACAGGTAGAAATTTTTCACGGATCACGACAAGTGCATTGGGCCTTTTTATCGTATTGAAAAAAAGAGGTTGAAGAAGATTTTACTTCTGAGGCAGTATCTGACAATAATTTTTTTATGACTAAAAATAAATGTTAAAAATAAATGTTTCTATTAACTTTAATAAATAAAAAAGTTATCAGAAGTATCTAAAAATGTAAAAAAAATCACATGATACAAAACTATTAATCGGCAAAGTGTTATGAAAAATGTTAATAATTTGTTTAAACTTATTACCTCTGAAAAACAGCAAAAAATTGATTCAGCGCGTCATCAGGCTTTCTCTTCCTTACTTCAACAGCTGAAAACTTCTACGCGCGATGCCTCCCCGATGAGTTGAGGGATAGCATCATCAACATACATCGGGAAGACGGCGTGCGTAGAAAGCACGGTTGCCTTCACAAGTGTTTGAGCATATATCGACGACAATAACAGGACCCTCCACTATGCATAACGTACTAAACAACAATTCACCCGATGTAGATACTTGCGAGATCTAGTCGGACGGACGACTGAACGGTGAAGCCGACTGACGGCGCCACAGCCGAGACGATTCCTGTCTCGACGTTGGCGCTTTCGGGAGGTTTTACAGCTCGGTAGTCCTGTGAATTGTGACAATAACGAAGACTATCGAAAGATCAACGTACAATGCTGACAACCCTGTTTTTTCCTAGCTTTTCAGGGGACACTGACCAAACTAAATCCCGACAAATCTTTAAACTATGACACTTACTGACGAAAACTACACCACAACCCCTCAATAATGCCTCCCTGGCAAGGAGTGAGGGCTGCTATGTTTAGCCTAACCTTTATCTTTTAGCATCAAAAAGTAAAACGGGTGAAATCTTCGCCATAGGCCAGGCAGGACCCTGCCACGCCGACCCAAGTCCCGAACGGGAGTTGTGTATTGTTTTATTTTTGTGTTGTACATATACCATTTTAAAAATGTATATAAAGTTTATAAAGAAAGAAAGGCTTTCTCTTCCCATCTTATACATTGAGTTGGAAGTGAGGTAGAAGTACTTCTCTCTAAAAGTACACGCGCGTAGGAAGCATATTGTTATAACGTTAAAAAAACATAACTACAAACAAAATTTTAAAAATTTATTTAGGTTATTTTGTTTATTATAGTTTAAATATTCGGTAAAAAATTTAAAATTATAACATTTTAAATTTTAAGGTATATTATTTAATTCAGGAAAATTAGAATTTTCGTCAATTTTGAATTTTAAAAAATTCATAACAATTAAAGGGTTAAAGATACGATGATGGGCGTAAGGACTTTTTTATTCGAAATATCCTAAAGAATATAAACAAAATTAATTCATTGCAAAAAATGCATTTTTTCTGGCTTAATTAATTTTTCGTTGTTTAAACAATAACATCAACAAATATCGAGTGTCATCTTACACTTTTATAATCAGGAAAGCCTTCCAGACATTAAAAAAAAAATAAAAATTAAAACAATTTTGCAAACGAATGCGCCACTATGCCCTGCACTAATAATTACATCACCACTGAACTAGCGTATAACAAAATATGAAAGGCAATTTAGTTACTGTTAGCGACATCTACTAACTAGTTAACAAACTTTTAACTTTGTTAATGTCGTTAACTGTAACGTTTCAAGAAAAATTTTATGAAGATAACTTTTTCTGTTTATAAACGCAACGGAAGTAAACTAAAAAAAATATGTTTTTAAAAATAATTTAATATTTTAGTTTAACTACTACGATAAAGAGGACTAAATGTCAAATTAGTATATAGTTTCCTATTTTACCGATTTGATATGAAATGAAAGTAAGTCGTCAATGACGTTTGTCATTTGCAAGGTCCTACAATAAAAACACCTTTTATTAATTTTAAAAGTAAATTTTCGGTGCTTGCAATGAAATGTCGTTCCGTGGAAGAGTTTTAGGATTTGTGGAAGTTGTTTTGAGAGTGCCTCCGCTATTCGTGATCGACGAAATATTAAAAATTGGACTACTGGGTTTAACGGAACTGTCACAACATGACTTGTCAAGTTATGAAGAAAAATATGCAAAAATTGAAAATGACTACAATAATATTACAACAAATAGCGATCCCTACGACCCGCTGGTTTATAGATACATTTTAATGTCCGTAATTAGGCTAGTAGTTAGCACATTAGGTCAGTATGCCATTTTACTTTTTAAATCATATTCACAAATAAAATTATAGCTGTATCATAATCATAATAATACTCTATACAATAAGTACGATTCTATAATAATCAACAAATCAAAAATTTATTTGGACACGGCTCTTGACTCTCATGACATAGCTTGGCATTGAATCATTGCTAAAAATTGTTAAGGTTATGTGTTTTTACCTACTTATTTCTGTTGGTTGATATACCCACCTACTTTTATTTAAAAGTGTGTTACTTGTAGAAAAATCAATTGATTGTTGGTCATTATTTATTCATTGATTTTTAAGCATTCCTTAGCTATTTCAATGTACTTACGTGTACCAATTATAATTGATCAAGTTTATTCCTAATATGGTAATATGTTTCATTTTTTCAACAAAAACTACAAATTGTATTTTGTTAGTGACATAAGTGTACATTTTAGAGGATTAACAAGATCACATTAATGATATAAATGTATTTATTTATGTTGTATGCATTTTTATGCATAGTAAACCTTTTAGTAATGGAATTAATTTTTAAAAGGACTCCATATCCCTTTAGTTTTACAATAAGTAAGGGATTTAGAAAAAAAATAGAACCATTTTGAATGTGGTAGAGACTAATTCTTTACAATAAAGTGTGGATTTTGTCAAAATATAACCATTTTTTTCTAACCTCAATTTTTTTATTTTTTGCAAATGAGTGAATTGTTCGCTGAGTTCAGAACACCAAAAAATAAATAGTTTCTATACCTAGTAAATTTTCGTAAAAAAAATGTAGAAAACTAGTATTTTTCGAGAAAAATATAATCAAAAATTGAATTGATCAAAAACTGTATATTTTGTTGTTTGGAAAAATGCAGTATACCTACCTCTAGAGAAACGGCATTAAAAAAAAGTTTTTCGTCATGAAATGTACCACCCCAAACATTTTTTCCCATATTTGCACAAGAAAACATCAATAACAAAAAAATTATATATTTGTTCTACTTGAAATATCAAAATAATTTAAAAAATTACGTAACCGAACCACATAAAAAATGAATTAAATGTCGCCTGAAATGAACACAATTTTTAAAAAAATTGCTTCTCGGCCAACTGACAGATCAAAGAATATACATTCTTGCTTTTCAGCTTAATATCACTACTTCTTCCAAACAAACCTAAGCTGCCTATAGTTTTCAACATCTGTAATAAAAAATAGTTCCAACTTGGAAAACCATATTTTTGAATTTGCATTTGTTTTTTTTTTCTTTAGTGTACGGCTTCAACATCTAAGGTCATTAGCCTAGTGTTCTATGTAGGTTATGGATTGTACTAGTAGTCTAATACTCCATAGTGTAGAAGTATTAGTACTCTAATACTCCTACACCCCTACAGACAGGCCTTGTTACTGTATTTGTTTTGTTTTAAATCAAGAGATATCTAAGTATCTGTAGTTTTATTTAAAACATATGTTAAATCTGTAATTCTGTGACACTAAAGTGATGTCACCTTTAAAAGCAGTGACCTGGTAGGTATTCCACATACTACTTTAAAAGATTATAACAACTCAAAACTTCATAATTTGATAATATATAATGATAAGGATATGTGATTATTTTTTATCACTTTGTTTTGAATAAAAACAAGTTGTTTTGAATGTAGGTATTAATATCTGATTCAATAAGTACAAGTAAAGTTTTAAAATAATTATTATACCTATCTATCGGATATTGGATGATCCAGTTTTAGAATAACACTCACCATGATTAGAAAGGCATTTTAAATAACAACTTTTGTCAAAAAAATTGTGTTTGTTACAATAGACCCAGACATACCTATCTGGAATATTCCAATATCGCAAATACCAAAATCTCATTGACAAGATTTTTTAAATTGGGGACCAGTTAAACTTAAGAAGTTATCTGCCATCTGAAATATTTTATATCCATCCTATATGCTAGTATGCATTTTAATAAAAAAAAGTAGCCAGTTTACTAATGATGGATGCTAAATTGTGCCTATTAGTGCCACTCACATATCAGATGAGGCACTGCTTAGCTCCTATCAAAGCCATTCACACGGAATGTGTTAATAAAACTTCTAGTAGGGTGACATCAATAAAAAAGTAGTACTTATTATACGAGTTAATACTATTAATTATATATAGGTTTCATTCTAATCTTTGGACATTCAAGTTTCACTTTTAATATTTTCATTGTTTTTTTCTGTGTGTCATCGGCTTCAACTACCAGGGTCATTTCGCTTCGTGTTCTGTGTAGGCTTTGTTACTGTTTCCCAGCGCCACTTTAGGAACAGCACTGTTAATTAGAACTCAACAATGAATGGTCGAGTGGGGAATCCTACCAAGGCATCAGAATTAATTTTAAATAATTAAATTAAATGAAAAAATCCCGGCCAACGGTGGGATTCGAACCCAGGACCCTTGGATCCTTGGATCCACAGACTCTACCACTGAGCCACCCACCCCATATTTTCATTATTATTATTATTATTATTATAAACTAAAAAACAAAAATATGTAATTAAATTTTACTTTTGCGTTTTGGTAGTAGGGTAGTAGGTAGTCGGATTGTGAACATTAGTTCTCAGTCTACATTTTTACCCAATTTTTGGCCAAATTTTTCCCATTTGTTATGGCTATAAGAGCTTTTTTACATTTTCCTCTGGATATCGGAAGAGTTTTCTTTTTTTTTGTGTTCATAATCTAATACAGGGGTTGAAAAAGAGACAAAAGTAAACAAATGGGCCAACCATGGGAAGTTTGAATAAGTTTTGGAATAATCCAGTAGTTGGCTACAATTTTAAAGGCACATTAAAATTATGTTAAGTAACGTATGAAGAAAAGAGATAGTCTAATAATATATTTGTTTTAAAGTAATAAAAGATAGAACAAAATTAACTGTCATTTTCTGGCTAATGAGTGGACTATTACATTTTTATTAAATTATTTAGCCAGTGTAACAGCTGGCTATTTTACAGTGGACTCAGGTACACTTTTGGTGTATAGTAGGAGATCTGTCCGCATATAAAGGGTTTAGCTTACATTACTATCGAGTACGAAATATATTATTATAGTAGTAGTAGTAGTAAGTAATAAAAAAAGTGAGAAAGAAATCACAAAGTTGAAAGATTATTTATAACTACAGAACATACAAAAATATTAGTGGTACGAAAAAAAAAATAAATAAAAAATACAATTCTTAACCTTTTAATATAAAAAAAATTTGGGGAGTGTTTCGTCGTCTATGCCAGTGTACCCAGACTGATAAAAGTGAAATAATAAATAATATTTGTATTATTCGTTTATTATACATGATCTGAGCATTAGGATATTATTGCAAAGTTTAAACTATTCTCAATTGTATCCCTATTTAAAAAATCCATCAAAGAGTTTTGCTCTTTTATTATCGACCACTAAACATTACCGCCGATATGTGAAGACAGTTTGCAATGTTTTAACATATAATAAGAATTGGTGCAAAATATGATAATTACTACTGCCAATCTTGAATCATAAAAATTACAGAATCATGGGAAATTTTAAATATATTATTATTAGTTTTGTTATTATTGTTAAGAACAGGGAAGGGACATAGTCAATGAAGCTGTTCTTTCAATTAGTTACAAAAAATATTCTAAAATAGTAAATGACAGTTGTGTGTTTTTGGAAAGCGAGAGTGGATGGCATTGATTTTAATCTTTTGTTACAGGCATTTTAAATGACAGTTAAAACTTAATATATACTAATAAACTCGAGTATAAACTATAATGAATAAAATTGTTTCTTCCTTCTTCGAGTTCTTTATTCACTCTCGCCTTGAACTGGTTTATGTTCTGGCTGAGATTGTATGTTTCTGAAGACCATTTCACAGATATACAGTTATGTTTGTAATGAAATGTTTTCTTCGCAGTTTATTACACTTTTATCTAATTTGTTCCAAAAGTTCTTGATATGTTCGCCTGGACGATGTTATGACAGGTAAGTTTCTATCAAGTCTCCTCTATCCTTTAAACTTGAAAGTTGTAGTTTTATCTAGCCGATCACAATACTCATTGTTTTGTAGGGTTGGTGGTATTTTGGTGACTCTCCGTTGTGCTCTTTCCAGCAGTTCAATGTCTTTAACAAAGTATGGATCCTAAACCGTCTTTACAAATTCTATCTTTGGTCTTATGTAAGTTGTGTACCTATAGTTTCAGGATCATATCTTGGGAATGGTCTTTAAAAACACATTTGATAGGATTGTCTTTCTTCACTATATTATCAATGTGGATTTTCCACTTTAAGTCTCTAGATATGATTACACCAAGATCCTTTTGTGTTTCGACTGGAGTTATTGCATTTGTATCTAAGGTGTACTGTGTGTGTGGATTATTTGGGCCAATGTGCAATACTGTACACTTATTTATGTTGAGGGGTAATAGCCATTGCTGGGACCAGATTCCTATTTTATTCGTGTCTTGTTTCATTTTCTTTTCGCCACTTTTTATGAGGTTATGTGCATAATATTTTCTAGGTATAATAAGTCTATAAGTTTATTGTTCTGATTTCTATAGCAAATCTTCCTCGGCACTTGTTGACCTATACCAGTGCCATAGGTTCCGTTTTTCATTAATTTCTTTGAAGTGGGTTCAATTGATCCTGGGTTTTTATTTATTACTTTTAGTAGAATATTGTCATTTATTACTTTGTACATATTGTTCGTTAAACGTTGCAATGTATACTGTGTTGAGCTATCTCACTATTGATTAATGTATAATCTACTTTCCAGAAGTTTCTCTTTTTAACACTGTATGTGAATCCGATTTGGATGATAAGTTGTGCAACTGCCTTAATGATTACATGATCACTTAAACCAATAGGCGATTCCGAGTTAATGGATGTTATTATTTTTTTGTCATTGACTAATAGTAAGTCGAGCGTGGATTTCTGACCGTTGCTTACTCTAGTAGGGAAATTTATAAGTTGTTTGAAACTGGATTATGTGTATGACT